GAGCGCCGAGTGGCGCGCGAGAACCAGGGGTCGATGCAGCGGCAGTGGTACGCATGCGCGCACGGCAGGATCTTGAGCAGCTCCCCCTCTTCATAGTCGTCCAGGCAGATGGCGCACAGGTCGCTGAGGCGCGTGAACGTGCGCACCTGCGCCTTCTGACACGTCTGAGTTTTCACCGCAGTGCCCCGGCTCCCCCAACCTCGGACCCACGGCCACAGCTGCTTTAGCACGAACAGCGTGGACGCGGCCAGGGCCAGGGCTCGGGCGAGCGCCCAGGACGCAGCCACGACGGGGTGGCACTCGGGGTCCGGACACTGCCCCCCGTGGGGCAGCAACAGGCGTGCTGGCCTGTCGCAGCGAACAGTCACCTCCAGGTCGTCGTACACACGCAGCTGCCCTGGGCCCTCAGAGCCCGCCGAGGCTGTGGTGGCTCCAGCCCTCTGCAGGCGCCTCCCGATGCGCTCCCACGAGCAGCCCAGGGGCCGGACGAGCACGAATTGGTCTAGTGAGCTGTTGTCGGACCCAGGGCCCTCGATGGCGAGGCACATGTCGGCCGGCCTGGCCACCAGAAGGCAGCCGGGTGCGCTCTGAGGGTCCAAGGGGACCCCAAGCAGCGCCGGGAGCTCCGAGAAGTCCATGGAGCTCAGGTTAACCTGCACGTCCGCGGACGACGGGGACAGGACCAGCCAGAGGGCCACCAGGGCCACCGGGACTACTCGGGCCCACGCCGACCGCTCCATGGCCGCCCCTACCTCCAGCTGTCGCACGCCGCCAAGTCCCTCGAGGGACAGCACAGGAGCCCCTCGGGCATCTCCGGAGCCACCCGGGAGCCCGTGGCCGGGTGGGAGCGGCACCTGCTGTGGCCAGAGTCGGGGCCTCAAGCGGAAGTGGCTCCTGGGGACAGCCCGGCCAGCATGGTGTCCAGGAGACCAACTCTTGAGGATGACACCTCGGGTCTCTAGAAGCGTCCCACCTCTGTGACGTCATTGTTGCCCACGCCCAAGAACACTCAGCTGTGCTGTGCATACTCCTAGCTGGTGGAGCATTACTAATCCCCGACTAAGGTCATCTCCAGAGGAGCCCAAGGGATGTGCCCCATGTGACATCGTTTATGGAGAGGGGAAACTGAGTCTAACTTGGCATCCGGGCACGAGGGTACAGAATTCAGGGACTTCGGGCGCAGGAAAGGGATTCCTCCGTCCACAGCACTCAGCCACCCCAGGGAGGAGGAACCTTGTTGCCCTCCCTGCCCCCAGACCCCATGTCAGCCCTGGGTTTGTGTGGTGACCACAGGGACTCCGATTGACTGAGCTCTGCTCAATGTCCCCACCGCAAAGGACAAACAACCCAAGAAAATAGGAGCTTCTATTTTGGTGAGGGGATACACCCTCCCACTTAAACAGAGACTAAGAAGGAGCCCCACTCTGGGCACCTTAGAGACGAATCTGGATCCACCCTTGCTTTGGCACTAGTGACCGATCATCTCCGTTGCCAGCGTCACTTTGCAGCTATGGAGAGTGGATGCTGCTAACATAGAGGACTGTTACTCTATCGGGGAGGTCTTCAAGAAAACTAAAACTACAAGGTGCTGCCTTCTACCTCCCTCCAACCTGATGACTGACTCCCCACCTACTGTGCCACCCTTGGAAAGACCCTGTTCCCTCTGGCCCTTGCTCCCCTGTCCCCTGTGTGACATCTACCTTGTCCTCCATTCTGGATATAGCAAAGTGGGGTGCTGAGAGGGGCCGTCTTCCTTGGGGGAGGAGCATGTGACCAGAGCCACCAGCTGTTTGGTGCAGTAGTGCTCACACCATAATCAGCTGTGATTGACTTTCGGAGACAAGGGCATGCCCAGCCTCTGCTCGGGTGCAAAGGAAGTGGAACTCACTCCTTTTACCAGCACCGCTGCCCCCTCAGCCTTCCCAGTCAGCCCCCGCAGGACCACGAGGAGCCTGACGAGGTCTGATTGTAATGAGTGAAGGGCCAGTTCTGTTGTTTTCTTGTTTTTATGAGACAGGGTCTCACTACATAGCCCTGGCTGTCCTGGAACTCAATACATAGCCCAAGCTGGCCCAGAACTCACAGTGATCCTCCTGCCTCTGTTTCCCTCCCAAGTACTGGGGTGAAAGGCGTGCGCCACCGGGCCAGGTTCTCTCTGGTTCACTGCATCATAGCGTCTGTCCCAGAGATGGACAGACCGAGAGAGAGAAAGAGAGAGAGAGAGAGAGAGAGAGAGAGAGAGAGGGTGGGGGGGCACACCTGTCACCCCAGCACTCAGGAAGCTGAGGCAGGCAGGGTCATTGCCTGGGGTTCATAGCCAGCGTGTATAGTCAGGCCCTCCCTGTAGCAGAGAGAGGGAGGTAGAGAGTGGGGGGGAAGAGGAGTCTGGGGTCCCACAAGCCCCTTCTCAAGGACACACCCAACCTAGAGCCCTCCCTTAAGGCACCAAACCCCTGCCAATAATCCCCACCCACCCAGCAATAGCACCTGGGCCCTTTGCCCGAAGGTACCCATACCACAGTGACTCCGGAGTAAGCAGGGTCCCATCTCTCCCAAGTGACTGACACAGGTTCCCTGGTACCTCTGGCCTTGCCCACCCCACCAGCAGAGAGCACATATTGAGCACCAACTGCATAGCAGGTCCAAGGCCTGGGCCATGTCACCTGTCAACCTAGGTGTCATTGCTGTCTGTTAGGACTCTGTAACCCAGGCTGACCTTGAAGTCACAGCAATCATCCTGCCTCACACTCTTGCATACAATCTCAGGCTGACCTTGGAGTCCCTGGCCCTCCCCCAACACTCTTTCCCAGACAGGGCTTTGATCATTGGCGGGACTGCCCTGTGAGGCCCAGGGACCTCAATGCTGCGTATGAATTCTGGGTATTTGAACCCAGGTCCCTGAACTTGGGCAGGAAGCACACAGTGGCGTGCCAGGGTGTGTGTGTGTGTGTGTGTGTGATATGCTAGGCAGAGCCAGGTGCTTGACAAATCCCTTCTGAGGACACTGAGTCCCACTGTCTGAATCTCCAGGCTCATGACCAGGTAGCTTCCATCCCTCACACCTTACTGGACACCAGCTGTTGAGGGTCAAGGAGGCCCAGGGAACCAGTAGCCACAACAGTTACTGGGAGGCATCAGGGTGGGTCCCTCTGACAGGAAGAATGTGGAGGTATTGGGAAACTGAGGCAGTATCGGCAGAGAGACTGAGTCCTCGCAGGGGAGGACAAACTGTTCTCAGAGCACCCTCCCCAACCCAGCACCACCAAGAAAGGGCACAGAATCGCTTGCATGCCAGGACTGGGAGAGCTGAAGCAGGAGGATTGCTCTGAGTTCCAGACCAGTCTGGGATGCAGATGGAGACCCTGTCTTAAAAAAAAAAAAAAAAAAAAAAAAAAAAAAAAAAAAATTCAATCACATTATTCCATTTGCTGGCAAGTTGAGACACAGCTGCTTGGCCATCTGGCCGCCCTGCTGAGATGGGGGGGGGGCGGCAACCAAGTGCTGTTTCCTGTAAGTTTAAAATTATTTCACAATAGAACAATTTTAAATGCAGAAATCTTAGAGGAAAAAGAAAACCTGGGGAAAGCAGCTGGAGAGAAGGGTGGGGACATCAGACAGACTTAGAGTGAGGAGGGCAGAGGATGTGGCTGTCAGAGGACGAGATTAAGGAGTCAGCCAGAAACACGGAGTGACATAGTCACAGAAGTGACATTACCTCTGCCTGTCCTATTGACCAGAAGCAAATCCACTCCCGCTCACACTCACGGGGAAGGGATGCAAGAATTGGGGACCACTGCGCCAGCCACTGTGGGGTTTACAGGCGGAAAGGAGGGCGGGGCTTCCAATGGACCTTGGCCCTGAAGGGTATCTAGGAGGGAAGGCAGGACAGAAGCGGGGAAACTAGGGGTTGAGGGAGACAGGAAGTGGGTGGAGGGCAGACGAGGGTAGAGGCAATTACTCTGTACTCTGTGGGTGGTCCCCTTCCCTCCCCAGTCACCCACCCCACAAGAAAGGACAACCGAGAAGTCTCCTGTGCCTGCCTGCTTAGCACAACAACATGGGATGTTGGCAGTGGCAGGACAATTTGGAAGGGAGGAGTCTCCAAGATGCTGCCACTTTGCACAAGAAAGGTGTAGGGTGACAAGTTCCATCCCTGTGTGCGCCGCCGAGGAACATTGATCTCCAATGCTTAATAGAGAAGGAATAAACCAGGGCGTGACCAGGAGAGAACGCCCAGTGTGAGGCCCAGATGCAGCCTCAGGACCACAAGCCAAGGAAACCAGGCATAGGACCGCTCAGCCCAGCACTGGGGAGGCTGAAGCTGGAGGATCACGCATTCCCGGCCACCCCGGCCCCCCTGCCAGTGTGTTTGTGCTTCAATGTTTCCATCCACTCCCAGTGAAATGTGATTAACTTTCTTGGCAAACACTCAGGGAAACTGAGGCAGGCACCACGTAAGCTGCTTGGCCAACGTGGTGCTGGTTAGGAAGTCACATTTAAACAGAGGGTCGTGCATGATTCCTCTCTCATATCACGTCCAATCTGAGCTTTGCAGCCCAAGACTGAGGGGAAGACACAAAGCGACCCAGCGGCTCCTCCCACCTATGGGAGCTGGGAGTGAGAAGAAGCTCGGGCAGACCCAGGCCCCCAACACTCCCACCCCCACCCCATCCCCGGTACTGGGGGATTCTAGGAGAGGCTCCACGATGACCACGCCCACAGCCCCAGGGAGGCTGCAGGAAGATTGGGGTCAGCTGATCTCAGAAGCTGGAGGAAGCATTCTTCCCCTCCCCCGCCAAGACCCTCTGGGAAAGGCGCCAATTAAGAGCAAATCAATTAAGCAAACTCTGCTCTGGCTTCGCCCTTAGCACTCTGCCCTCGGCCTCCCTAACTGGAAGCAAATGCATTTGTGGTCAGAGCTGAGGGGGGGATCAGGACTCTCCAGACAGAACTCTCACTGGCCCCTGGGACATGGAGCCAGTTATGTGATCCGACCGAGAGAGGAAGGGGAACCTGTGAGGAAGCACTGTGGAGGAGCCAGTCTGTTCTGAGGACCAGCTACAGTGTGACAGGAGTGTGAGCAGCGCTGTGGGAAAAGAAGGCTATAATTTGCCCATTTTACACGTCAATCAAGCGCCCGGAGTCGCTGTAGCTTTGTGGCATGCTGTCTGGGCAATCTTACATTTGAAAAAGATGAAAATCCAAGCTCCTTGTGTGTGGCTCAAAACCAACCGCCATCTCTCCCCAGGGCCTCAGCAGGGAGCCTGGAACACAGCAAACTCAGCACCTGGGTTCAACCATTCCTGAAGTTGCATGGATAGCTTCTGCATGGCAATTATTTGACACGGATCTATCACCACCATGACATACCCAAAGACAGCAACAGACTCATGCAACAGTGCTCATGCTCCAGTGAAATCCAGCTGGCCTGAGGCTATGAGAACAAGTGCAGGCTCACAATTGTATGCCAAAGAGATGTAGCAGGTGTTTGTTACCCAGCAGGAGCTGACTGTTACATGTGCACACCCTAAGACTGCCTTTCCTGGTTTCTGAGAGCAGTTGGATTACAAAGAGTTTCAGGACTGGATGTGGTCAACAGGAAATGGCCTGTCACTTGCATGTCATAGTCCTGGAGTCAAGTGCTGTGGGCTAGACCAAAGTGCCATGGTGAGCATGCTGGTGTGGGTAAGAAAAGAACCTGTGCTCTTAGCCCTGGACACATGGGCCAGTTTGTTACAGC